CCTACAAAGTTAGTATTCTGATTAGAAATTGTCTTTTAATAGTGCTGAGAAAAATCCCTTCGACTGCAATAGATTTTGCTTTCTCCCACTCTCTCTAGCATGTTAACAAGTCTTGTGAATTTTAACATTTTGGGGCAGAGGAGGTAGGGAGAGAAAAGGGATTTACACATTTCCAGTGTGATCAGCTTATAAAAATATGGGCAAAAACAACAGAGTTTAAAAAACACCCTTTGCACAATTAACTAAGTGTTTTACCTTTTCATACATAATGGTCAACTCGTTAGGCTTTAATGACCCGGTGAAAACCAACAACCAATTAGGGAATGATGGCAAGTCAAACACAGCTCAGTTTGAACTTCTTGGAATGTTCAAGAGAGGCCCATCCCCCAAACTCCAAACTTTGACCACCAAAGGACAGGCCTGACTCTTTCCTGTCTTCTTAGCTACCCCCTGCATCAAAGCCATTAGCCCAAGCGAAGGCTGGACCACAGGAGGAGCTATGGTCATCATCATCGGGGACAACTTCTTTGATGGCCTCCAAGTGGTGTTTGGGACCATGCTTGTATGGAGTGAGGTAGGCAAAGGCAACCTGCCTCCCTGATTTCTTTTGGCCCAAAGATTGTTTTGGTCTGGGGAAAACTAGTAATTCCTAGAATATCAGGAATACGAACACATGTTATTGGGCACCTGGGATGAGCCAGGCACAAGACTAAAAAGACATGGAAGTCACGATATTTGCAGAGATGGACTCCTTAACAAAGATAAATATGCATTGCAATATTATATAAAATTGTGAAAATTGTAAATGGCCTAGATATTGGATAATAAGAGAATGGTAAAATAAATGATGGACTATCACTCCACCATTCAAAATTATGTTTTAAAAAAATTCTAATGACACAGAAGAAAGGATATGCTTGTGCTCTAATGTTAAGTGGGAAAAAAAGTCAGGACAACAGCATCTATGGATGTAAAATTTGATTATGTAACATGCATCCATAGAAAAGTATTGGAAACACACTAAACATTAATATCAGTTGTCCCTGTGATGTTAATATTTTTCTGTAATTTCCACATTTTCCAAGTTGGCTGTTCTACTGTTACAATCATATGAAATGCATTACAACAAGAAAGGGAACAGCGCTACCCTGGGCTTGGAATTGCTGCATCAGTGTGTGAAGTCACAGGCAGTGTAGGAATTCAGTGGAGGGAATGAATCCAGGGGTGGGGGTGGGCAGCAGGAGGGGGGAGGGACTGGAGCTGGGCTGGTTGGAGGGAAAGGACCTAGGTAGGTTGGGTTGTGGGACGTTCAGGGAGTGTGTGGAGCACATCAGTTAGAGCAGAGAGAAGCCCTGGGGAATAGGAATGGGGGGTGCTCTGTGTCCCACATCTTCTGTGATGGCTTATCTAATATTTTATTATGGTATTTTATTCCCCCATCTATTCATTCCTCAGCTAATAACCCCACATGCCATCAGAGTGCAGACTCCTCCTCGGCATATCCCTGGAGTAGTGGAAGTGACATTATCTTATAAATCCAAGCAGTTCTGCAAAGGAGCCCCAGGAAGGTTCATTTACACAGGTGGGTGAGAAAATGATTCCAAGGGAGGCTGGCTCCTGGCTCACCTTTGCTCTGGTTCCCAGCCTCTCTGCTTTATAATCATCCATCGTTTTTCTAGGTCTTTCTACTAGTGTGGGAAGAGTGGATTCAGTGATAGACATCGAGTGGGGAAGTGTACACTCAACTCTAAATTTGTATTTTACTTCAGCAACTTCTGCGTGGTCTGTGAGATGATCACAGCAGCTCATTTCAGGAACACACCATTACGCATTTTACTCTGCTGGAACCACACTAGAAGAGTCATTTATCCAAGCAGTCAGATAAGATAAATTAGACAAAGTTGTTGGCTGTAACTAAATTTTCTTGAAAAGATTCAAGAAATTTGCCCGATTGTATTGCAGACTGATTCAAAGTATTTTTAAACTTTATGGAAGTAAAAATCATCTATTAGCATGATATTTATTGGATGTCTACATGGAAGGCGCAGATGACACATATGTATTGCAGACTGATTCAAAGTATTTTTAAACTTTATGGAAGTAAAAATCATCTATTAGCACGATATTTATTGGATGTCTACATGGAAGGTGCAGATGACACATGAGAGATGGTCCCTTCTTTATTTGGAAGTTTAGAAACTTCTGAAGAGGCAGTGGTATATTGGACAAAACATCTGGAAAATTTGTAAATTTGAAATGTTTGGTATTGCCAATGAATGGAATACGAGTTTCAGGAAGAGAGTTTAGTGTGGACTAGAGCAGTGGGATGGGGTGTCAAGGAGGAGATAGAAATTGAAGACCAAGTATTAGGATAGGGAGGATGTGGATGACCAAAGGGAAGAAGGAAGAATGTTATGGCCATGGGAATCCCAGTGCCAAGGCTGCAGGGTGAGGTGGGCACATGCCCAGGGTCCGACAGCTGTGGCGGTGCACTTTGTAGAATTTAGACTAGAGCTTAGCCTTGATGAGCCAGGCTCGAGAGGGAAGGAAACCAAAAAACAGAGACAGAAGGTGGAGTGGTGGTTACCAGGGGCTGGGGGAGGGGAATGGGAAGTGGTTGTTCAATGGATACAGAGTTTCAGTTTTGCAAAAGGAAAAGAGCTCTGGAGATGGACTGCACAACAATGTAAATATAACTAACTCTATTGCACTGTACCTTACAAATGGTGAGGAGGGTCAATTGCATGTTAATGTGTATCTTAACACAATTTTTTAAAAATGGGGAGACAAGTGTTGTATGGGAGTTTGGACTTGATTTGGTAAGAAATAAGAACACACTGAGGGTTTCCATGCATGGGAGAGTAACTCAAAGGTGTTATCGTTGGAAAAGCATATGCTGTTGGCATAAAGACTGAGTTACGTGGAGGAAAAACTGAAGGCACAACTAGGGTTTTGTATTTTGAAAGAGAAAATAAGGGGTAGAAAGAAAGAAGTATATAAACCAAGAAAATATATGAAGCATATTACAAATGTTTAATATTGTTTTATATATAGTGTATTCTTCTTTCACTTGGACTCAGCTTTCTGCTCATGTCAGGTTTGATATCAAATAGTTGTAGACGGAAGGGGGTAATTTTCAGGTATATTTATTTAAAATGTGCCTTTGAATTTACTCTCCTGAGATAGGAATATCTCAGGTATTATTTCTTGTGGGTTTATGGAAGATTTTATTGCAGTCACAATAAACGATGTTACTGTTCTAGCTCCCAAAGGGTCACAGTTCATCCATTCATTCATTCAAACTAGTATTATCTCCTGCCTACCGTGGGCTGGCAACACTCTGGCTCTGGGATATGGAAGTGAGTAAGGTGATGTCCTCCATCTTAATAAAGCTTACATTACAGAGGGGAGACAGACAACGAAGAAAATAAATGATATGGTCTCCCGTAGTGAGAAATCAGGGAAGGGTTATGAGGCAGGGTGGCCAGGGAGGCCTCTCTGGGGAAGGGACATGGAGCAGAGACCCGAATCACAGGAGGGGCTGTCCCCTCCTATCCACTGGAGATCTGCCCCCCTTCCCGCCTTGCCTCTCTGACCTCCTCTCCCCTCTGTTCACATCGCCTTCCCTCCATCCTGGGAACTCCTCAGGGCTGTGTTTCCTGCTTGGTTCACTGGTGTTTGCTGGAATAGTGCCTGAAAGCCCATGAATCTGTGGGGGAGTGTCCCAGGCAGCGAACACAGCGAGATGACAGACTGAGGAGCAGGAAGGAGGCTGATGTCATCGGGGAAGAGCTAGAGTGCCAGTGTGGCTGTGGGGGAGTCGCTGGGGAGGACGGAGTGGGGAGGTGAGGCAGGACAGGCAGGTGGGGAAGTGTTTGGGTGGGAGACACTGCAGATGTGGAACAAGAGCACAGTCAGCATCCCCACAGGACTTAAAGCCACAGGGCTGGGTCAGATGGCCACTGAAGAGGGTGAAGCTACAGGATGCAAGAAACCTATAGGTGGCGCCTTGGCAACACCCACATGTGGGGTTCAGGATACAGAGGAGCCTGGGAAGGAGACCAAGAAGGAGCAGGCAGGGTAGGGGGAAACCAGGAGCATAGGCTGTCCCTGAAGCCAGGTGAAGAATGGGTCTCACTCTAGGACACTTGCCATATGCAAAGCTTCCAGCTTCTCTGGTGTTTCAAAGACAACCCCTGGACACGGATAATGAGTCCGGCCTGTGAGGAGGTAGGTGGCTATGATGACAAGCATGTTGCAGCCCATTCTCTGTTCTCTACAGGAGTAAAGAATGACCTTGATACAAGGTGGGGCTATAGACGTTGGGGCCGGGTGTTGTGTGCACGTTGTGTACACATGTACATTCATTCATTCAAACTTCCTCTGAAAGCAGGTTCTCACCCTTGGCTGCACTTTAAATCACCAATGCCTAGACCAGACCCCAGACCAATTAGATATGAAACTCTGAAGGTAGGACCCAGATGTCAGTGCTCAAAATTATGCTCAAGCCACAAAACCAGTAATGCCTCTAGCAGCTTACAATTCTAGAAGGGGAGATAGCTACTTCTAGATTACAATAATTAGGTTCAGTCCCATAAGAGATATAAAAGCAAATAAGCATTTCAGGGGCACTGGGCAGGGAGTGACTGACTTTGGGGAACCAGGGACGGCTTCCCAGAGTAACAGTAGAGTGACATTCTGAAAGGAAAGTAGAAACTTGGCAGACAAAATGGAGGAGGTTATGGACTACAGTTCTTGGAAACACAGGGCCTAGCAAAAGAGGAGCTCATACAACTGGGAAAATAATAGATGTTATGTTGCATGTAAATCCAAAGAATTTCAGAGATGCAAGGACTTTGATGATCATCTGGTCAAAGTCCCTCTTTTGCAGAAGAGAAAATTGAGATCCAGGGAAAAGTGACTTGCTTAGAATTGCCAACTGAGTTGAAGATGGGGTCAGGATGATTCCGGTCTTTGGTCATCCTGTCCGGTGTCTTTAATTGGCAATGTAGTATCAGCAAAGAACTCTCTTTTCCTGATGTGCTGAGACATTACTGACTTTTTCATGAAGCATGAGCACTGTGTTCAGCATGGTGCTACGTGCTGGGGACCATGGGGACAGATGTCAGACTGATAGGATCCAACCTTGCTAGACATGATGACGTAGTGATGTGCGGGTGAACTGCTCATGCTCTGGAGTCAGACTGGCTGGACTCACAGCCTGGCTTGCCTCCTAAACAGTTCTTAACTCTTGGGCAAGTGAATGAACACCTTGGTTTCCCCATCTTTAAAATGTGTGACCTACTCACAGGGCGGAGGTGAGGACTAAATGATACGGAGACTGGGGTGGGCTGGGAAAGGTTTAACAGCTAGCTCTCCAGAAAAAAGGGGATTAGAAAAGCATTGGTTTGTAGCATTTACTGATTTCCGTTATGCAAATATTTTCACTACGGCTGATTTCAAGCTACTGATGTGACATCAGTCGACTCATAAAGTTCCTGAAAATTTAGCCACCTGCTGTCACAAGCTGGTAAAGCCAGATCTAGCATACCTCTGCATATAAAGCACTTGCGATAGAGAGTGGCTCATATCTTATTACTCAAAAAGTGTTTGTTAGTGATATTATTCTTATTACCATTAGTGTTATCAGCATGGAGACCGATTTGAACAAGGAATTGCCCATGTGCTGAGTACAAAAAAGGCGTTGTGTAAGATGCTGGGAATGTATGCCAAGGGAATCAAACCTTTGCAAATTGAGGTGGTGGAAGGATGGGACAGACGAGAAACAGTTTGTGCAAAAGCCCTGGGGTGGGAAAGAGCATGGGATACGTTTTACAGACACGATGAATAGGGCAGAAAGAATGAGTTAAAGAGAGGTTGGGTTCAAGCTGGAAGGGAGGTCAGGGGCCAGGTCATATCAAGGCCTGCTTGTTCAGCCCTTACCCATATGCCACGGGGAGCTATGGGAATATTGTGATGACCAGATTTGCCTCTTAAAAGGTCATTCTGGATGCAGTGCAGAGAATGGCTTGTAAGCCAGGGTGGAGGCAGCAAGGTCAGTTGGAGGCCAGTGTGGTGTCCCAGGCCAGAAGTGATGGTGGCTTGGAGTAGAGTGCCGGTGGTGGGGACAGGCAGCAGTGGATGAAATTTAGGAGGTAGCACTGACAGGACTTGATGATTGATTGGATGGGGTGAAGGTTGGGGAGGGGAGGGAAGGGGACAACTCTCAGGTTTCAGAGTTGAAAAATTGGGTGGGTATAGTTAGAAAGTGATTTTTTAAAAGGTATCACATGCTAAGGGAGTTCAGAGGAAGGACAGAATACTTCCAGCTGGTGGAGAGGTGGGAAGATTTAATACTGTAAAGATGTCGATTAATGAATAAATTTAACACAATGCCAATCAAAACACCAACAAAATGTTTGGGGAAACTTTAGAAAAGTTCACCTGCAAGAGAAAGGTGCTAAAATAGGAGCCCTGATTTTGAAAAATGAGAAGGCCTTGCCCTACCAGACGTTAAAACCTATTTTGTTTCAATAATTAAAAGAATATGGGGCTTTGGAGAACATAAAGAAATGTTGTGTA